AAATGATACTGGAAAAAATGAACAATCACAAGCAAATGGTATAGGAAGATGAGGAAAAGTGCTATGTGAACATATGACATGCTCGACAAGTCAAGAAGGAGGTTTTACAATCCAAAAGATCAATGAAACCAAGAGCTGGTTCTTCGAAAAAATCAATAAAATAGACAAACCCCTAGCCAGGCTCACAAGGGCAAAAAGGGAGAAAGCACAAATAAATAGGATAATAAATGAAAGAGGAGAAATCACAACGGACACAGCAGAAATCAAAAGAATAATTAATAACTACTATGAACAGTTATATGGAAACAAGTTCAACAATCTAGAGGAGATGGACAAATTCCTACAACTCTACAATCACCCAAAGCTAGATAAAGAAGAAATAGTACACCTAAACAGACCAATTACAATTAGCGAAATTGAAATGGTAATCAAAAACCTCCCCAAAAACAAAAGCCCAGGACCTGATGGATTTACAAATGAATTCTACCAAACATTCAGAGACGAATTGGTGCCTATCCTTCACAAACTCTTCCAAAAAATTGAGAAGGAAGGTATAATACCTAACACGTTCTATGAAATCAACATTACACTAATACCAAAACCGAACAAGGACAACACAAAAAAAGAAAACTATAGGCCAATCTCCCTAATGAACACTGATGCAAAAATCCTCAATAAAATTTTAGCTATCAGAATCCAACAGTGTATCCATAAGGTAATTCACCACGACCAAGTAGGATTCATTCCAGGGATACAAGGATGGTTTAACATCCGAAAATCAATCAACGTTATCCAACACATCAACAAAAATAAATATAAAAACCATATGATAATATCAATAGATGCTGAGAAAGCTTTCGACAAAGTGCAACACCCATTCATGATAAAAGCCCTTGAAATTCTTGGGATACAAGGAACGTACCTCAACATCATAAAGGCCATATATGACAAGCCAACAGCCAGTATCATTCTCAATGGTAAAAAGCTGAAAGCAATTCCATTAAGATCTGGAACAAGACAAGGATGTCCACTTTCACCACTGCTTTTCAATGTAATACTGGAAGTCCTAGCCAGAGCAATAAGACAAGAGAAAGACATCCAAGGAATCCAAATAGGAAAAGAAGAAGTCAAACTATCACTCTTTGCAGATGATATGATAATATACATAGAGAACCCAAAAACTCCACAGAAAAACTAATTCAACTCATCAATCAGTTCAGTAAAGTGGCAGGTTACAAAATCAACACGCAAAAGTCAGTAGCCTTCCTATATACAAACAATAAATCTGAAGAAGAAAAAAATCAAAAAAACCATCCGTTTTATTATTGAAACAAAAAAAATCAAATATTTGGGAATAAATCTAACAAAAGAGGTAAAGGACCTATACAAAGAAAACTATAAAACACTGTTAAAAGAAATAGAAGAAGACACAAAGAAATGGAAAAACATCCCCTGCTCATGGATTGGGAGAATAAACATTATTAAAATGGCCATCCTACCAAAAGCAATGTACAGATTCAATGCTATTCCAATCAAAATTTCAATGTCATTCTTCAAAGAAATAAAACAATTATTGATGAAATTCATATGGAATCACAAAAAACCCCGAATAGCCAAAGCTCTCCTGAAAAAAAAAGAAGGGAATGGAGGCATCACACTCCCAGACTTCAAACTCTACTACAAAGCCATAATCATCAAAACTGCAAGGTATTGGAACAAGAACAGACATACAGACCAATGGAATCGAATAGAAAATCCAGAAATAAACCCACAGATTTATGGTCAACTAATCTTTGACAAAGGAGCAAAGACTATGCATTGGAGCAAAGAAAGTTTGTTCAATAAATGGTGCTAGGAATACTGGGTTGCTACATGCAAAAGAATGAAGCTTGACCACTACCTCACACCATATACAAAAATCAACTCAAAATGGATTAAAGAACTAGACATAAGACCTGAAACCATAAAATACATAGAAGGAAATATAGGCGAAACACTACGTGATTTGCATATCAAAGGCATCTTTACAGACACATCACCCAAAGCAGTGATAGTGAAGGCAAAGATCAACAGCTAGGACTACATCAAATTAAAGAGCTTCTGCACAGCAACAGAGACAATAACAAAAACAAAGAGAAACCCCACCAACTGGGAGAAAATTTTTGCACACAACACTAATGATAAAGGACTGATCACAAAAATCTGCAAAGAACTGATGAGACTCAACAACAACAAAGAAAATAATCCAGTCAAAAAATGGACAGAGGAGCTAAAAAGAAACTTCTCTGAAGAGGAAATGCAAATGGCCAACAGGCATATGAAAAAATGTTCAACATCACTTGCAATCAGGGAAATGCAAATCAAAACTACCATGAGATACCATCTTACACCAGTGAGAATGGCACATATTAAAAAAACTAGCAACAACAAATGTTGGCGAGGTTGTGGAGAAAAAGGAACTCTTCTGCACTGTTGGTGGGAGTGCAAACTGGTCCAACCACTATGGAGAGCTGTGTGGAGATTTCTGGACCTATTAAACATAGAGCTTCCACAGGATCCAGCAATTCCACTCCTAGGTATTTACCCAAAGAACACAGAAACATCAATTCCAAAGAACACCTGCACCCCTATGTTTATAGCTGCACTATTTACAATAGCTAAGCTTTGGAAACAGCCCAAATGCCCAAAAATAGATGACTGGATCAAGAAGATGTGGTACATATATACCATGGAAGATTACTCAGCATTCAATAAAGATAAACACATGCAATTTGCAGCAACATGGATGGCGCTGGAAGGGATCATGCTCAGTGAAATAAGCCAAAAAGAAAAAGAAAAATACCGGATGGTCTCACTCATAGCAGGAATCTAGAATACTTAAATAAGGGACCAGGAAAATGAATAACTATAAGAAAGTGAAAATCAAAATCAACAAAAACTATGAACCAGAGACACTTTTTGGGGGGTGGGGGGGCGGGAGGGGAGGGATTGGGGTCAGAATGGGGGGATTGCAAATGTATGAGGAATATAAAAATAAAATTTATTAATTAAAAAAAAAAAAAGAAGGAGGTTTTAAACACCTTTCCCTAACAGCCATCAAAAGGAATGAATTCTGGTGACACTTTGCTTTTAGACTTCTAGCTACGCAAACTTTGAGAAAACAAATTTCTGTTTAAACAGAAAAAAATGCTATAATTAAATTTATCTAAATAAAAGGTATCTTAATGATAATAACATAATACCATCAAATGTGCTTGAATAAAAAGAATGTTAAGTCACAAACAGAATTATCTGTGAAAAGATTACTGTTGTCAAAGGGAAAATGTGCTTCAGCAAAGAATGCATGGAAAATTGCAGCCAAACCTCCCCAATTTTATAAGGTAAAAATCAGTGAAAAATAGGGAGAAAAGAAACATTTTTTAATTGACATGTAAAAGGAAAAAGAAAAAGGCCATAGAAAAGTGGAACTAAGATGAAAAAATAAGTCAAAATATATCAATCATCAGAAGGAATAAAGTTGTCAGTTAAACAAAAATATAGAAAGTCTAAAAGGAAAAAAACAAACAATATGCTGTTTAAAAGAAACACACAAAACATTAAAGACACCCATTTTCAAAATGAAAATTAGACCAGGAAACTGGAATGGATAGTTATGATATTTAGAATCTAAAAAAATAGACTTCACTTCAAATAAATAACTTATGTATAAATATATCAGAAAGTAGACTCTGGGAAATATGTGTGTATTTATATAATGATAAATGTTAGTTAACTGGGGCAATATAGCAATTCTATTTGTTTTCACCCAGTAGTAGTTTTAGGATGACCTAAAGACACACGTCCCAAAATTTAAAATAGTGATGGCTGAAATAATTTACTTTCCTCTCAATCATTTATAGTTCAGTGACAAACTATTCACTGCTGACATGAGCATTTTGAGATTCAAGTAGCAAGCTATTTCCACTCATCTTTCTGACACACTTAAATATAGTCTTCATTCATTCTCGTGGTCCCAAAGGTGACATCTCTATTCCATGTTATAAGCAAGAGAAAGGACAAGAATGGGGCAAAAGGTCTCTGCAAATTCTCATTAAAGACATTCAAGAAAACTACTTAACAGTGTACTTACACCCATTAACCATGAACCATATCTAGTGTTAACATCATGTGGAGATACAAACAAGTCTGGTAGTGGCCATTTATACAGCTGTTATGATAATTAAGGAAGTAAAAAACAGATTTTAGAGGATAAATAGCAGTCTCTTCAACAGTCTCAAAATATTATAAAGCAAAAGTTGATAGAACTCAGGGGAAAACTGACACCACTATTACAGAGATTTCAGCAGTCCTCTTTTCAACTCTGAGATTTCAAGTATGTTATATTCAGATATTGGTGAATGCAGTGATAAAGGTTTACTATTTTGAAAAAATTTACTCTAAGAAAAAAAATCTTGTATATATTACCAGAACTGAGTAAGGAAGAAATTTGTATCAGATATTCCTGAAACTAATTAATTGAATCAGCATTTTTTTTTAATGTTTCTAAAAGAAATTCTAGAACAAAAAATATTTTATTAATAAATTCTATGTAACTTTAAAGAGTAATCGTTTAAATCTTAGGTAACTCTTCCAAAGAATTATCAAGAGGAATCACTCTCCAACTCATTCTATGAAACAATATAGTCTTGTTATCAACGTTAGACAAAGGAGATAATGGAAAGGAAAATTATAAGCTAATTTTCCACATAAACCTAAATATAAAAATTCTTACAAAATGTTAGTCAAGTTAATCTAGCAATGCATTTAAAAGTTGCTATAGCAATGACTGTTGAAAGAATTGTCTATGGCTGAAAAACATGTAAGTGTGAAAACCACATTAAGAAGCTGAAGGACACAATAAATGCAGACATATCAAGCTATTAATTAAAATTTTATCCATGGTAACATCTATTATCAAACTAGAACTATTCTTATATTAAGGAGAATTTACAGGAAAATACCTTTTCCTGGTGAAAATTTAGGTGTGCTCTATTCAAATTCACAGGCTCCCCAGGATGACTTCTATCATAGTCAGCTCTTTCCATTGTACTGGAAGACCTACCCAACGCAAAAAGAAAAATAAAGTTTATCGGAATTGGAATGAAAGAAAGAAAATTGCCATTATTCAGGGTTGATAATGACCGCATAGGAAATACAGAATATTAATAAAAATTTCTTTGAATTAAAGCATATACTAAAATTACTGAATAGCATTACAAAATATTAATTACAGTTTTGGAAAACTAAAATAAATATTGCGAAAACAGTCATCAGACATCATTTGCCAGGTAAATAAAATGTCATCTCTGAGCACTCTAAAACATAGTAAGGTACTCTTTACAAAAAATAAAAAATAAAAACTATTATGAGACATTTAAAAAGATATAAGTAATTGGAAAATATAGACAGTATTCTTGCATTGAAAAAATCAGTTCTTTTTTTCTGCATTGATCTTAAATTCAATGCAATTGTTATAACACTTTAGCAGAATTTTTTATAATTTATGTGAATTGCAGTACTGAGGAGTATCCAGGAATATCCTGGAGAAGCAAATCTGGGGATACTACCTCAAGCAAATACAAAGATTTATTAGAAAACAAATTATTAATGTAATATTAAAATAGGAATAACTAAACAAGTCCAAAATATATCTATTAATTGAAGAGCAATTAATATAAAAAAGAATCATGATAGCCATATTAAATGATAGTAGAAAAGAGGTTTTAATACTATTATTGGGACTACTGGCTATTCATAGAGAAAAAAGAAAATGAATTTAGATACCTAACTCATGAGAGGCAAAGTATTCAACTTCAAATAAAGATGTAGGAGTTTAGCAAGCACAATGAAACCTTTAAAACACAAGGTAAATCATCTCTATTGCTCTTTGCATAAATACTATTCAAATATACAGAGTTGGGCCTCCCGGGTGGCGCAGTGGTTGAGCACTGGGCTGCGAAGCTGCCTGCAGCCTCTGCAGCGCCAGTTCGATCCCTGGCCTCTGGGCACGGTCCCACTTGGCAAGGCAGACCTCTTCCTGTCGTGCCTGCTGCACCCCTCAGCAGTGTATTTCATCAGTCTGCCTGTTCTGCTCCCCACTCTGGCTCTGGTGGATTCTCTCACCCTCCCGTGCTTCTGACTGTACCCAGTGCTTGTATAAATAAATAAAAAATCTTTAAAAAAATATATACAGAGTTTACTAATTGGACCATGGTAAATTTAAAGTTCTTTTCATTAAAAAGCACATTAAAATTTGAAAAGAGAAAACAATTCACAGAATGTATTTGCATCACATATAGTTGAGAATTAACCAGAATATATTTCAATATGTGAAACATATACTTCATAGAATGCCTGTGAAAAAAGTCACAAAAAAAAAAAAATAAAAAATGCTCTCACCTCATTAATAATGACGAATATGCAAAATAAGATGTGTGAAATTTCTCTATTATAAGACAGGCAATGAGTGACAATACCAAAAATGGTGCGATTATAAAAGATAGGGAGTTGTGTGCACTGCCAGTAGAATAAATTGATATCGTTATACTGGGATAACGATAGATACAAATGCTTAGATACAAATGCTTCAACCATAAGCTCTACTTCCAGGCTAGACAAACTCCTATATGCACTAAGAACACATCTAAGAAACAATATTTGTATTAAAATATGGAAAGTATGTAAATAATTATGTATTCATATACTATTATAAAATAATGGCAACAATCTATGAGCAAAAGCTTCATTAATAATGTGGATGACATTTAGAAAAAATTTTGACTTACAAAAAGATCAAAAACTACATAAAGTAGGGCCTCCCCAGTGGCGCAGCAGTTGAGCGCTGGGTTGTGAAACTGCCCACAGCCTGCAGCCTCTGCAGCACCGGTTCGATCCCTGACCACCAGGTGAGGGTCCCACATGGCACGCAGACCTTTCCTGCCGCCAGCTGCTGCCCTCAGCAGTGAACTTCCTCAGTCTACCTGCTCTGCTCTCCGCTCTGACTCTGGTGAATTCTCTCACCCTCCTGGGCTTCTGACAGTACCCAGTGCTTGTATAAATAAATAAATAAATCTTAAAAAAAAAAAAACACTACATAAAGTAGGGGCTCTGCAATGCCGGTTTGATCCCTGCTGGCCTTGGAGCAACCCACATGGCATGCAGACCTCTCCTGCCGCCCGCTGCTCCCCTCAGCAGTGTATTTCATCAGTCTGCCTGTTCTGTTCCCCTACTCTATCCCTGGTGAATTCTCTCACCCCCCACATCTCTGGCCTATACCCCTGCTCTTGTATAAAAAAAAAAAAAAAACCTACATAAAGTATGAAAACATTTTTAAAAGCACCAAATAAGTATAATAAATAATGCACTGCAAAAGAATGTATATAGTAATTACCTACACATACATAGTTTATCACTATTAATGAAATATAGTAAAAACAGTTATAAAAATATGTATATTGCCATCGATAATGATAGTTTATTTATTTTATATGGATTGAAATAAAGATTTAAAAGTAAAATATATACATAATGGAGAGCAAGATTGTTTGATAATTAACTTCAAGTTTCAAATTATATTCCCTAATATACCATGTCACTTGGTCAAAGTCATTGGTTATGCACTGGTTATCAAGTTAAAAGAATACTCCTTTCCAAACAAAACTTTCCCAAGTATAAGAAAAATGTCCAAATCATCAATTTCATATTGATATGCCTTTTAAAAACTTTCCTCTTTAGAAGGGGCATGGCTCAGTGACCTTGGCAGTGGGAGAGATTTTAGATCCAGAGCTTGCTCCTATATGGCTCTGTAAGTCCTCTCTGGCCCTTGTGACAATGGAGACTGACTCCACTGGCTCTGTGAGCCTCTCTGCCATTGTCTGTGGTCTGGTCTCTTAGCCCAATGAAGCTACATGGTACTCCCTGGCTGACTGGACCTTCAGCCCTTGTAGAGTCCTGAATGAGGCTGACTCTGCTTCTCCTTATCACGGCCCCACTGGAGGCCTACCAGCTCTCAGCGCAGCTACATCCCAAACTTACAGCACTCAGGGGCATGAGCAGCTAGCTCTAGGTCCTACCCACTCCACACTCAACCCAGTGGCTACTTGGGAGAACCAAACTGCAGTTCTGCCCCAAAGTAGACTCTGACATGCCCCCCCACAGCATTCCTTCCAGAGTGCCATACACAAAGCAAAACAAACACATGCCTCCCATAGTATTCCTCCTAACCATCAGCACTCCAGGTTCACTCAGAGTTGAGGCATCTATGAAGAATTCTGGGCACAGTTTCTGATTTGCTTTCTCTTTCTTCTTCCTTCCAGTCTCCTAGGCTAGAAGATGGGATGTTCCTTTTAAAATAATCATTAATATCCTCAAGTATCTAATCAGTTCAAATTTACCCAATTTGCATAACACATTAAAGTATTTTCTTGAATTAGGATTTATGTAAGTTCTCTGCCATGCACATACCCTATACCTCTGTCTGTAGTGGCACTGTCCAGTAGAATTTGCTGCCACTGCACCTAAAATGAGTCTAGCACAACCGAGGAAATGCATTTTAAATGTTGAATTTATTTATTTGTTTATTTATTTATACATACATACATACATACAAGCACTGGGTACAGTCAGAAGCACGGGAGGGTGAGAGAATTCACCAGAGCCAGAGCAGGGAACAGGACAGACCGACAAAATACACTGCTGAGGGGAGCAGCGGGAGCTGTAGGAAAGATCTGTGCACCATGTGGGACCCTGGCTGGTGGCCAGGGATCGAACGGCGCTGCAGAGGCTGCGGGCAGCTTCACAACCCAGTGCTCAACCGCTGCGCCACCAGGGAGGCCCTACCTTGTTCATTTTGCTCAAATATCACACTATATATTCTAATTGTTTAAAGTTTAGCAATTTAGCAGTTAATTGGGGCCTCCCTGATAGCACAGGTGTTAAAGACAATGCGCTATCAAGCTATCACCAGTCACTGCAACATGAGTCCGATCCCCGGCCAGGGGTCTAACCCACATGACACAGCAGCCCTCTCTGGACTCGCTAACAGCTCCCTTCAACAGTGTATTTCAGTACATCTGCCTGTTCTGCTCCCCACTCTGTCTCTGGTAAATCCTCTTAGCATCTCCCCCCACACACTTCTGGCCTACAGCCCAGTTCTTTCTTATTTTTTTTAGATTTATTTGTTTATTTATACAAGCACTGGGTACAGTCAGAAGCACGGGAGAGTGAGAGAATTCACCAGAGCCAGAGGGGAAGAGAGAGCAGGCAGAGTGATGAAGTACATTGCTGGGGGGAGCAGCAGGCAGCAGGAGAGGTCTGCTCACCATGTGGGACCCTCGCCAGGCAGCTGGGGATCCAACCGGTACTGCAGAGGCTGCAGGCGCCTTCGCAGCCCAGCGCCTAACCGCTGCACCACGGGGAGGCCCGAACCCAGTTTTTGTATGCATAAATCTTTTAAAAAAATAAAATTTAGCAGTTAAATAACACTTTCAGTATATGAGCCAACTTATATTTCCATCCTACCTTACATAGTTTCATCCATATCATGTATTTTTCATGTCAGAGCAGTTATGCATTAAGTTACATTATTTATCCATATATATCACACATTGACCTTCTATTTCTTTTATTATTATTATTATATGAGTAAGAACATGTTATGTGAGATCTACCCTCTTGATAAACTTTTAGGCGCACAAAATAGTTTATAGACAAGATGCTGTACAGCAGAGCTCTAGGATCATCTTGTATCATTGAAAATGTAATACCTGTTAAGCAGCAACTCCTAATTTCCCATCTACTTTCTATTTTGTCTTCACTGTTTTCCATATTATTCTTATGTTCTTTGATCCTTTCTCCAATTTGTCCACCTGACTCCTTACCAGATTCAAATTTTTTTTCTCATTTTCATTCCCAAGGTCCAGATGAATATTCATTCTACACATGAACAACATTTAAAAATTCAAAAAACAGCTTACAGTTAAAATTTAAGAAAATCATTATTTATTGTAGTAAGAAATTGTATTTTGTGCATGTTAGGTTAGAACTTTACAATATCAGTA